TGCTGATTAAAAAATAAATGGTAAATTTAAAAAAAGAGAGTGTTATTATTGGTTTAAAAGATTTAAAAAAAAAAAAATAAGAGGAAAAGCTAAAAACCAGCAGATTTGGTTTTGTAGTAAGTAGGGAAATGAAGGCCGGGACTGTGTATATTTAAAGGGAGCGCAGGACGTCGACCTGTTTAAGGCATGTTTTGCCTTTGCTCAGTTTTAAGGGAGAAGACAGCATCCATTGTCATTTCCTGGCTTCCAGGTTCCAGTCGTCCTCAGGTTGGGGTGAAGTGTGGATGTGGTGTGTGTGGTTGTGTGGTGTGTGTGTGTGAGATGAAGCCTGGGATGTAAAGCTAAAGAACAGGTTGCATTAGGGGGCATGGGAGAGCTGGGTCACCATAACAGGCAAGCCAGGCAGAAAGCTAATCCGGAGAATGATTCCAAAAAATGTTACTGGGGGGGGGGAGGGGGTTACTGAGAGGATGTATCTGGAACAACAAAGATGGAGAGGAGGGGGGGGGGGGGCTCGCTAGCGGACTAAAACTAAAGCTTTGACTGCAGGTCGTCGACCCAGGTGCTGGATCAGCCGTGGGTTTTATTTTAGTACAGTACGAATCTGGCTTCGATTTGAGGGGGGGAGGAGGGGAGGGAGAGTGCTCTTCCTCACACCAGGAGCATTTCCCTGGTTGTTGGCAGAGATCAGAAGCCAAATCCAGAAAAGCTGGGGTGAGGAGCTGTCTCAGTTGCGCCCGCTCCGCGCGCTGTGCCCCCCCCCCACCGCCACCACCAGGGACAGCGTGCAGATCTGTATGGGACTTATAACGACGCTCGTTTGCTCCCAAACGCCACCACAAGGGTCCAAAAACTGGGAGCGCTGCGTCGGATACAGTGGAGCTTCTCTGACCTTCTGAGCTCTGAGTGGAGGCTTTTGTTCTTCCCATGAGCCTCTCTGTTCTGTCGTGGTCAGAGCTGCGACGTACGTACGTACGGACGGCTGTCTTCACCACAGCCACGGGCCATTATCTGACGTAACATCGTCCAGAAACACGTGAAGACCCTGGGCAGAAACACACTGATGGATGTTTTTTTTTTTTTTTTTTTTTCGGAGAAGAAAACTATATAAAATGAGATTCTACTTATAGGAAATAAAAAAAAATGACTACCGAACAAAACCAGCAAAAAAGATATTTTGAAATACTTTATAAAGGAAAACAAGTGTATTAGTTAAATGAGATTTCAAGATTTAAAAAAAAAAAAAAAAAAAGGTTAATTTCTTAAAACTAAGTTGTGACTCAAACCTCCAGATTATTTTTCATTTTGTTTTTCCTAGAGTGAAAGTATAACACCTCCTTTAATTAAAACAACTTTAAATGCAATAACCAATGTTGTGACTGTATATTTTTAAATCCCTGTTTTCATAAAGATAATCTATCCGTTCTGCAGTATGATTATTCTCCTTCTTTCCTTCAGTTATTGATTCAATCCTTTGCTCTATGAAATGTTTGAAAAAAAGCTCAGAAACATGTTTTGTAAAGTCTTGAAACTGTATTTTTTTCCCATCCTGCAGCTGGAAACCCAAAGATATTCAGTTTATGATGATATTGGACAGAAAAAGCAGCAAATTCTCACATTTTAGGAGCTGAAACTGAAGATTTCTGGCTGTTTTTACTCAATAAGTTACTGACATGATTAATCAATTAACCACACAGTAGCCTAGTGATGATCAATCAGTATTTATTGGTTGGTATTTGCACTAAAGTTAAAAGGGAAATCCAGGAATATCAAATCCGGACCAGGATTATTCACTGAAGAGGAAGATTTAAAGAGGCCACAGGAACGGCTGCAACAAGTATCATCAATAAATCTGATCATTTGCTTCATTAATCGATTGGTTGTTCGCTCCAGAAGATCACTGCTTCCCAAATCCCGAGGTGACGTCCTAAAATGTCTCTTTTTGTCCACAATGTCCTCCGAAGACAAAAAGAAACCAGAAAATATTCACATTTCAGGAGCTGAAATCAGAGAATTTGGATTTGTTTTCTTCAAAAGATGAATCAAATCGAATAATCGATCATCAAAATAGTTGCTGATTAATTTAATAGTTGGCGACTAATCGATTAATCGTTGCTGCAACTTGAGGCTTCAACCTCATGTAGAGTTGGTCCGAGGCTGATGATTATCGTCATTACTGATTAATGATTACTGATTAATGGTTTAGTCTATAAAACATCAGAAAGCAGTTAAAGTTCCTAAAGCTTCTCTCGTTCTGTTCGACCAACCAAAAGAGAAAGAAAACATCAACAAATATCCACATTTGAGAAGATGGAACCAGATAGTTTCTGTCGTTCTTGCCGTAAAAAAGTCGCTAAAACAAGTAAATTATCGAAGTTGTTGCTAATTGATTGTCAGTCGACAGTTGTTGATCGACTTTGTGTTAAACAGTGCGACGCTTTGAGGGGCGGGACGTAGGAAGGGTCAATTTATCTTAGCAGAATGTATTTCCAGTATCTTTTATACATTGAAACTGTTGTATCATATTTTATAAACTGATCGTATGTTTTCTAAGAGTTGTAACTATTGACTAATCAACCATTAATGAGTCTGCAGCTTTATTTTGATATTTAATACTAATTATTTTTAAGCGGAAACATCAAATATTTTCTGCTTCCATCCTGATGATTTTAGTGTTTCTTATCAAATCTCTTGGAACAGTCGGACAAATCGAAACAATCTGACGATGACGTTTGTGCTGAGAGAACTTGTGATGGACATTTACTACTTTTGGACATTTTAGGGCGAAAATATTTGGCAGATTAATCAATAAAGTTTCCAGCTCAGCTCAATTTTTCGTGGAGAAATGTCAAAAATTCTCTGATTTCAGGAATGTGTTTTTCTTTGTTATAACCAGCAGTGGAACAAATACTGAGATAAAAGTATTAATACAACAGTGCAGAAATACGTCAAATACAGACCTACATTTCACATTTTTACTAAAGTTAAAGTACAAAAGTAAAACCATCAAAATAAGTACCAAAAGTACGTAATAAGCAGCATTTCACAATAAAATACATAATTTAACTCTCATTATTGATGCATTAATGTGGAACTAACTGAAATGAATGTATATATATTTCATAAATATTGTTTTATATACTGATTTAGTACAAATATAACCAGCAGGCTGCTGGTAGCTTGTCAATATCTCCCTGGGGATCAATAAAGTCCTATAAATGTAATAATAATATCATAATCTACTATCTATTATGTTATTACGTTATCAATCTGAATTTTGAAAGTATTTTATTATATAGTTACAGTAAATGTGGAAGTATACAGACAAAAACTACAAACACCTTGTAAACTGAATATCTTTGGACAGTTATAGCAGGTAGTGACGGATGTTTCTTTCTGTTTTTGCTATTAATTGAGGAACATCTGGTGGATTTCGTGATAATCTACCAAAATATTAACCATCATTTTTTAAGCGAAAATGTCAGAAATCCTCTGATCTCAGATGTGAAGGTTTGCTGCTTTTCTTTGGTGGTGAACTGAATATCTTTGGGTTTTGGACCAACAATCATATAAAACAAGGAATTTGAAGGTGTCACATGTTCTCTGGCAGGTAGCAATGGAGGTTAATCACTATTCTTGGAGGTTTTATAGAACCTTTTAGAATATACACACTTAATCGCGGAAATATTTGGTAATTTTTCAAGCAAAAATGGCAAAAATGATGTGATTTCATCAGGATATGCTGCTTTTCTTTGGTGGAAACCTGAATATCTTTGGGTTTTGGAACAGTTCTAGCAGGTAATGATGGCTGGTTTCTCACTATTTTATGGAACGTTATATAACAAACGATTTAAAATATAAATATATGTATAGTATTTGCCAGATTTGGAGATAATCTGATAACATTAACCA